TCCTATTCAAAGCAGTAATATGATAAGATCCTACAAAATTCATCTTATTCTTGCTAGATTTCTGCCTTAAGCAACACTTAAAAAGCTGATGTGTAAAACATAAAAGATTCAAAACATTAGTTTGATTCCAAAAATTGAACTTTCAAGTTTTAAGCTATGAGTCTAAGCCAGGGGTGTCAAACTGCGGACACATCACACGGAAACCGCACCCACCCCATTGCCAGCAATGGCAAAAGTCCCGATACACTGCATGACGTCACGAGTTTGACATGTCTGGTCTAAGCAAATGAATTACTGTTAGTAAACCTTAAGCATATATCATGAAACATTGAAATACACCAAACCAGAATATCTTGTTTTTTATTTGGAATCTGTACCTAATCCAAGGTAAGTCAATGTTTCAGTGAGGTCATATCACAGGGCTTTAATTGCTAACTTAAATGCTGATCCAATGAATAACACCGAAAAACTCATTACTTCTGATGAGAACCTTAAATACTATACACTCCGTTTCACCAGGTTTCTATTAGTACCTAATCCAATTCAGAACTAATTAACAATTGCGTATTTAGCTAGTACTGTTACTTATCTTCATATCTAAATTAAAGACATACCAGTACAGAAGCAGCAAGCTATTTTAACTAGAAAAGAGAACCAGCATGGAGGAAATGAACCAACTATTATTTTCTTTATTAGCAAATTATCAAGACAGGAAGAGGCAATATATTTTATTATATTTCCATGAAATTTAATTTTAATGTATGCCGATTAGTGTACATTCAAGGTGACAATAAAGGTATTGTTCTTTTTGCATTATCTGTGTCAGTGGGGTAGTATTTGTCATTAATATCAGAATTCAAGTGACAAATTAAAATCTGTTTAATTTCCTTAGAACAAATCACTACTGTACCTTAAATATTTATCTTTTAATCTCTTTACCATAAATGTCTAGCTTTTTAGTATAAATAATTCTTCATGCTCAATTCTTTCTATTCCCTTACTGTGTTTTGAACAAAACCTGCCACTTATATTTCTGTCTACAGAATAAAAAATTCTGAAGCGAAGTGCATTTTCTCTATCTAAAACTTTTTTTAAAAAAATTGACATTCTACCCTTCTTCCATAATTTGTAATAATCAAACTTTATTTCCTAGAGGATATTATATAGGAATGCTGCACTACGTGCTGAGCACTAATAAGACTGAAATATCATCAGACAGCTTTAAGAACACCAAAATTCAGCTTTATAAAAGCATTTCTTTAGTATATTTCAGTTCTGAATTTTTTAAAACATAAACTGGCAGGAACGTCTAACCTGTGTTTGGTATAATCTGAACAGCCCAAAGGAGTTAGTGAATTTTCCAATAACATTTAAAAGAATTGCAGGCAGGCAGTTTGCGAAGTCACAATTTTTACCTGCTATTCTTGTTATAGTAGCAAAAATGTTATGATGAATGTATGAGATAATGTTTCACTTATTCATGTAGGTATCACTGAACAAGCAAAAAAGCTTCCTGGTCTCATGCCATTCATATCTAATGTTAAAATCATGCTGGCCTTATAGCACAAATTACCACTATATTTATTTCTGCAGTTTAACCTCATTGTTGATTACAGGTAGTCTTTGTTTAGCAATCACAATTGGGACCAGCATCTTTGTTGTTAAATAAAGCAATTCTTAAATAAAACCATGACTATGCTTTTCTCTGATTTACACATCTACAAGAGTTGTAAATGTGAGAATTGGTTGTAAAGTTACTTTTCATCACTACTTTAACTGCGAACAGTCACTAAACAAGGCAATCACTAAACAAGGACAATCTTAATTTTTCTCTCCAAATTCTTTACTATCAAAGGTAGACTGCTCCAAGTATGGAAAGGGTTTTTTTTTTTGCAATATTTAACATCTAACTCTTTACCAAAACTAGAAAAATAGTAGCTTCAAATACCAGTTAAAACCAGCATCTCATAATGTGAGCTGCAAATTCAATGTATATTAAGACCTTTAAATGTTTTCACAGATGGATACATGACCCAAAAGCAACTGCAAAGAAAAGATTGGCAACATTAAAATAAATCCTCCATTACCTGTTTTTCTCATTCTTATTAATAACATGCCAATGTATTGGACAATCTCTAGCCTTCATCCCAAAATCTGCATATTTCAAAATTGAATTTCTACCATTTCTAAAGTTATTTAGTATAGTCAGTCTCCGACTTACAATTGTAATAGAGCCTGCCTATCATTTTGTAAGTTCTGATGGTCATAAAACCAACCACCCATGTAAAGTGTAGGCACATGACTGTAAGCATTGACAACTGCTATAAATGCAGGCCATTTGCTGAGCACGCAACATGCAGTCACATGACCGGAGTCAGCCATCAGAACTTTGGCACTGGGCTGTAAATATCCCCAGGGAGATTTTAGTAACTTCAAATAATCGCTAAGTAACTGTAAAAGTATAACATGTTTAGCATGTAAAGCAGGGGTGTCAAACTGCCGGCCCATGGGGCCAGACGTCTCATGAGGAAACCATGCCAACCCCATTGCCGGCAATGGGGAAAAAGCTCCGATATGTCACATGATGTCGCAAGTTTGACATGTCTGATGTAAAGTGAAAGAACTGAAAACATTTAACACTGCAGTAGTTGCACACCAGGCTACTTTAGTAAACCTATCAAGAAACTGAGCAGTAAATACAGACCGAAGTGGTTTCCTGATAATGGACTTTGCTTGCAGGTTGCTAACTCAAAACAATTAAACTTTGTTACCACAAAATTATTACAACTAAAACTGTACTTAAGTTTAAGTTCCTTCCATGGATTCCAATGAAACCTACGATTGAATATCACACAAATGCTTTTTCAAAAGGCAACTAGACTTTTGAAACAAAGTCCAATTGCCTATTGAAAAAGCATTTTTGGGGCAACCATGACCTGGGTGACCGAGAATCTCCATAGACAACTACGACTGAGTAATATAGGTAGTCCTCGATTTACAACGGTTTGTTTAGTGACCATTTAAAGTTACAACAGCACTGAAAAAAGTGAGCTACGACCGTTTTTCACAAGTATGACCATTGCAGCATCCCCATGGTCATGTGATTTACATTCAGATGCTTGTCAACTGGTTCATATTTATGATGGCTACAGTGTCCTGGGGTCATGTGATCCCCTTTTGCAATCTTCTGACAAGCAAAGTCAATGGGGAAGCCAGGTTAACTTAACAACTGTATTACTAACAACTTAACTATTTAACAACTGCAGTGATTCACTTAGCAAATGTGGCAAGAAAGGTCATAAAATGGGGCAAAACTCACGTAACAAATTTCTCACTTAGCAGCATAAATTTTTGGCTCAACTGTGGTTGTAAGTCGAGGACTGCCTGTAGTTTATATCAAAAATCACTGTCATTGAAGGTTAAATATTAAAAAAAACCTTATGAATCTAATGAAAATTACCAAATCAGTACAAAAGTCTCATCAGATATATTTCTAGCCAAAAAGTACTAATCTAAAACCATAATCCTAAAATTAAACTTGAATTAAATAGTTATTTAATTAATTCGTATTTCACCTTTGTTATTTTTGCAAATACTTCAAGGCAATGAACATACCCAACATCCCTTCCTCCTCCTATTTTCTCCACAATAACCCTGTGAGGTGGTTTGGGTTGAAAGAGTGTGACATGTATAGACACAGGAGTCAATTTAGAAAAGGCAATACAATGTCCTGAGAAAAACTGCTCTTTCTCCTGCTGTCATTTAATGTAATGTTACTGTAATAAATTATTTGAATACCATTCGTTAATGTAATTTAACAAATGGCATTCAAATACATTATTTTAAAAAATCAACTGCATTTTAGTACGAAGGAATTTGACCATAAATGTTACAATCCAATTTAACTGATTCATCATTACATGCTACTCCTGCAATACAAGAAAATACTCCTAGATTCCAGGGCGATTCACTTTTTTCCCATGCTTCTCCCATTATTCCAACAATGCTTTTTCTATGTGTTTATTCAGAAGGAAGGTCGATTAAGTTCAGTGGAATAAAATACCAAGGAGGCGTTGTAAAATTACAACCTACTGACATAAAGCACGATCGAGGCCAATCAATCAACGATCATTCTGACCGCACAAATGAATGCTGAACCCTCTCGATCCAAGGCTGGAGCTGCCGAGAGCGAGTTTGGAACAATACATTTGGCTCCTCTCTTTTCTTCTCGCCGGAATCTTATCAAACCTCTCCCTCCACCGCTCGCCCGTGCATCAAAACCCGCCCGCCGAGCACAAGGGACTTCCTAGCAGCATTATTTTCGGAGAAAGGCGCCATTTTAAGAGCTAGTGGGAGGAGGAGGAGCGGGCGGGCGATGCGACAGGGGGCGCAGGGCCGGCGGGGGGAAGCGATCCACTGAGCCACACGGGCTACCCCGCGAGTAAAAAGACCTCGGGGGTGCCTCACGGGGCCCGAAGAATGGGCAGCCTGGCCGCCAGGAGCCCCGTCTCTACATTTGCACCTGACCGGGGACACACCCCGCTCTGCCTTCCCCGGGTAGATGTACGCCGCTTCCGCCGCCGCCGCTTCTCCTTTCATCCCGGCGGGACGGCGCCCCTTGCGGTGGCTCTCAAGTCCGCGCTCGTCCCAGCGCCCTCCTGGCCCGCACCCGCTTCTCACATCTCAGCGGAGCCCGCCGCGATCAATGCCCCCGCCGCCAGCCGCGATCCCTTCCGGACCTTGCTGGATCCCCGGCGCGTTTCTACCGAGGCTCCTCTCCCCAATTGTCGGGCGGACCTCTTCGCTTTCCCCCCCCCCCCCCCCCCCCCCCCCCCCCCCCCCCCCCCCCCCCCCCCCCCCCCCCCCCCCCCCCCCCCCCCCCCCCCCCCCCCCCCCCCCCCCCCCCCCCCCGACACGTATTTCTCTCTCTCCCCCCCCGCCCGCCCCAGCGGGGTCTGGGTCTTCCCCCACTTCCCGCGGAACCGCCATTGGCTGCCCACCTTCTCGCACAGGCTCTTCACTTGCCCTTCCGAGAGCTGCTTGCACTCGTTCAGCTGCTCGACCCACTGGTCGAGCTCCTTCGTGAAGACCTTCTCTTCCATCGTCGCTGCTCCCGCCGCCGCCGCTTCCTGCCTGCCTTCTTCGCCGGCACCCACCACCCCTGCCCCACCTCCGCCCACCCTTCTCCCTCCCCCTCGCGGAGATTAGGGGAGGCTGCTAAGCGTCGGGAAGAAGCGAGGGCTGGACGGAGGAGGAGGAGGAGGAGGAGGAGAGAGACATGCACAGCACAATCTCTCCCTCCCAGGTGATGAGGAGCAGCGGCAGCGGCTGCTTCTCACGCTCGCCGATCCGGTCCGCTCTCCGTGTAATGGCTGCCGCGCCTTGACGTCACCCCCACACTTCCCACCCTCCTTAGACCAGCTCAGGCGCACCAGACGGCGCACATGCGTCCTTACAGTCAAATGGGTGGTTCTGCCCTAAGCGCCCCACAGTACGCCTCTTCGAGCATGCGCACAAGCCCCATGCGCGGCGGCGCGGCGGTGTTTCAATGAGTTCCTCTGCGCGTTCTAGAGAATGGGGTAAGATTCCAAGGAGTGTATTGGAGGGGAGGGGGTGGGGAGCGTGCCAAGAAAGGTGACTCTTCTTTGACATAAACGTACGGGAATCACAGTTTAGGAATAGAAAGGTAGGTTCATTCTAATTCTTGCAAAAAGTTTGAGTCAAGTTTGGAGGGAGATGCTTTGCAAGATACTGTGTTTCTCTTCTATGTCGTGCCCATATCTGAACTCCAGAAATCTGACTCGTCCCCAGCAATTTTCTTTCCGTGCCATTCGATAGATACTTTTCACTAAAGGCAGGAGACATTGAAGCTGAAGCGCAAAAAGCCTGCAGTTTAGCGGACGGCGTCAGGTTGAAGAGAAAAACCTCGCAAACCCATCTCCCCAATGGATAGATGTCAACGTAATAAAAAGTATATCCAAGATATATCTACTACATTGAAATTGATGTTAGCCGGTGCCCTCCAAAGATCAGGTGCGACGTGTTCAACAATTGATAAAAAAACACTGGGTAATTTTTCAACAGTTTCAAATACGGTGTAATAACTAAGATGACCCTTCGGTATAGAGCCATGCTCTCAAAGTCTCTACTGGATTATAGCTCCTATAATAACTATTCTGCAACAGCATCCTTTGGCATTCCCAGTCACCATTGGATGAATATTATGGTTCAGCATTCTGAAGCTGCTGGGAAGAGATTTAGATCCAAATGTAACCAAAGTAACCAACCTTTTACCACTCTTTGTTTTAAATAAACGTAGGGGGAAGCAGATGCTCCCCTTTCTCTATGTAAGCTTCCAGTCTGTAGCAATGTTTTTGGAGAATTGTGAGGCAGAAATGGGGGGGGAGTAAATAATTTGATAATTATTAAATGTATATGCCTCCCAACTCCCAGCAACTCTGGGTGGTATACAGTTGGTAAAACAATTTAAAATAAAGAACAATACAAAAGTCACAAAAAACATTACAAGACAAAAGACAAAGGTGGCAGAGAAAACAATCTCAGAGGGGAACAAGGGAAAGAAGGAAAAAAACATTAGTCCTTTCCAGAGCCAGGTCTTTAAGGCTCTTCGAAATACCAAAAGGGTGGGGGCCATTTGAATTTCATGGGAGAATCTCATTCCAGAGAGCAGGTGCTGTTACAGAGAAGGCAAGCTTCCAAAGTTCTGACAGATGGCATTATTTAATTGATGAAACCCAGAGTGCACTAACTCTCCCCGATTGAACTGGCCAGTCAGAATCTTGCATTAACTGGTTTAAACTAATTTATTTTATCCACTGGCTCTTTCTATTAGAATTACTGTAGTTTTTTGCTGGAGATCCAGCTTGGCGTAGTGGTTAAGGTACCAGCTAGAAACCTGAAGATGGTAATGTTTAATCCCATTTTAGGCATGAAGCCAGTTGGGAACCTTGGGTCACTCTCTCAGCCCAACCCACATCCCAGGATGGTTGTGGAAAAATAGAAGGTGAGAATATTATGCTGCCTTGTATGAAATAATGGCAGATATAAATCTAATAATTTTTAAAAACAAATAAATCAAGAATAAATTTAACCATCTGCATTTGCCTCATTTACCTTTGCTGCACATACATTTAAGAGACTTCATCTTAGAGGTCTGATTTACATCCCTTATTTATAATTAGAAAGGCAGTATCCAATCAAGACTGTCCTGCAAGGGAGTAGAACCAGTTTTCTCTAACCTCCACCCTAGAGAGGATTAAATAAAAAATAGTAAAAATAGAGTTGGTATGCTACTAAGGTATGGCACTTTATCTCAATCTTCCTCTACAAATTCATTTATTAATATTCTAATCCTATTTTATTAGAACTGGCATCAGTATACTTACTTTGTAATTTTCAACTCTTTGAGCTTAAATTTCTGAGTAGGCATGCATAGGATTGTGCTGATAATGGTGGAGGATTATTATAAGCAAGGATGCTTTAAAAGCATTTTTTCAAAAAGTCCTGAAATAAATAAAAAAGAGCAACTGCTAAATTTTTTATTATTAAGGGAAGTCTAACAAATGAAAGGGACTAAATTACCAACATTATTATAATAGATGGGGTTCAATTAATTATTTTAAATACATAGATGAAATATTTAGGGTATTGTAGACTTTTAGGCAAATTATAAATTGCATCTCCAAAATGCTATCTGTCAAATCAAGAAACATAGAATCAGGTTAGTTAATTTATATAATTATAAGAGATAATTTTTGCATAATGCTGAGCAATTGAATGTGAGGAAGATTCCTCTAATTTTCCCAAACAGAGAACACATTGGTTATATCGCCTACATCAGACATGTCAAACACAAGGCCCGGGGGCCAGATGCGGCCCGCGAAGTGGTTTCATGTGGCCCACGAAGCCATCCTGGAAACAGTGAGGGAACGGCCCCCGCTGCCTTGGCCCTGCCCAGGCCGGCCGGGAGCCAATGTACAATTTTGTGGTGGCCATCTATGCTGAAATGTATTCAGTCTTAGCTCCACAAGGCCGTCCAGAAACAGCGAGGAACCAGCCCCTGCCGCATTGGCCCTGCCCCCTGGGTGCATGCTGGGGAGGTGTCACCCTTTGTGAGGAATGAACAAATGGACCATGCCTTGGCGCTTGCCCCGGTCCCACACCCTTCTGCCAGAGACCCTCAGATCTGTCCCACTCCTGCCCAGGCCCCCACAGGCACCCTTGACACGAACAATGTAGAGCTGGCCATGCCCACCCAGTAGGCCAAACCCACTCCATCCACACCCACCCAGTAGGCCGCACCCAGCCTGGCCACACTCACCCGGCCCCCCAAGGGCAACCGCAATGCTGATGCGGCCCTCAATGAAATTGAGTTTGACACCCCTGGCCTACATTGAAAGAAATACTGACTCTATTTCCATTTTTACAAAAAATAGCCCAAATTGTATATTTTGCAATATAGCAAGATTGCGAAACCTGGCAATAGGAGAAGTACATTTGCTGATGTTTCCAAGAGGTGTAATACTGATATATTAATATGACACAATTCTAAGGAACTCTGGAGGCTGCAAAAATAAGGCTGGGGTTTCTCACAACCTATGCATGGCCAGCTATCCAGAAAGAGAGGCACCAAGAAATAGGTGAAAGTCAAATAATATTAATCACTGTCATTCCTGTTTTTAAAGTGTGTATGTCTGACAGTGTTAGAAGGCTGCATAACAGATACTAGGCTATTGTATGCAGGCATTTTCAATACTATGGAGTCCTTGGTGCTGTCTGAGCTTGGTTGTTTACTTGCAGACATTTCATTACCTGATTAAGTAATATCATCAGTGTTAGTGAGAATGTGCTTTATTCATTGTGTAGTTTGCCCTGCTGTTGTTGTTGGGGCTGTGATGGTGTGGTTTTCTATGTGGTATTTTCAGTGCTATTTGCAAAGCAACTGTAACTTGAATTTGGAAGAGTAGCTCTAAAACTTTTACAGGGAAAATAACCAAGTGTCTTGTGGCTTTTTAAACTGTAGAGAGCCATAAAACATTTCATTGTTTTGTCTTGAAATAGAAACCGAATTAGGACAGAGGTGAGAGGAAAGTATTTTTTTTTCTTTAGCAACAGTCTTCATTAACCATGTGAGCTGTCTTTTGTTACCAGTGTTGTGACCTTAGAATTAAAAATAGCAGTGATGAGTTCTACAGTATTAAATGCAATTGAAAAAGATGTCCCTTAGGTACTCTTCATATATTATTTGTACAAGAAGCAATTGCTCTCTTTTTGGGTGTGTTTTCACTGTAATGAAAGTAACTTTGTGTACTTTGCAGTTTTTGTTTGTTTTCAAAGAGAAAAGAAACTTTCAAATAAAGTTTTGGATTCACACCTGGCAATAAAACACATACAAATGATATTGGTTAACTATTGTTAATTTCTTCTCTAAAGTGGCCACCTGAAAATCTTGCCTTAGGTAGCAAAGGAGCTGCTGTGTTTAAGAGCAGTTTATCTGGGACAGTATGGTTTTGCTACTGCAAAACCTTCTTGAAACTAGCATTATGCTTACCTGCTAGAGTAAAGGAGGGAATGCAATTAGATTAAGTTAAACTTTGTATACACATCTCAGATATGACTTGGTTTACACATTGTACTAAGGCATAATTTGATTTGTTTATGGCTTAGTATGTTTCACCAACACAGCTGTTTGTGAAATAGGAATCATGACTAGTGCAATTATGTATTTATTTACTATTTTAATTTGATTCCTATCACAGCTTTCATTTAGAGCTCAAGGCAGTGTACATAATGTTCTTCCTGTTTTTCCTCACAGACTCCTTGAGGTAGGCAAAGCTGAGAAAGTGACTTGGCCCAATGTATCCTGGGAGCTTCATTGTATGAATTCAGCCCATTATGACTTATTCAGCCATTCTACTTAAACTATGGTTTAGCATATTGTATGCAGTTTTATGAGTGAAACTTGTGCCAATACAAAATATTACTAGCCTGTTTTCCAGATTTAAAATAGCTAGAATGTTTTCTTTATAGATCTGGTAGATCTGGTGATATTTACATTGATTCAGTCATTTTCCATCATATACAGAAGAATGAATTTCTGCAGAATGT